ACCGTAACACTACGTGCTCTTTGTTACACCATCACGAAAGAACGATTGCGTGACAGATGTAGCGATCGCGCAGAGCTTACAATCCAGCCAGACGTCCCGTAAATAAGTCAAGCGAATGGATCCCGTAACGGCCGAAGGTTATAAAAAGATCACCGATATACAAATGTCGAGTACGGTGGGCGGTTAAATAATAAAACGCGAGGTTAATCACGATTATACGTATTGATTAAACGCGACGCGACGCGATGCCGACGTCTTGCCGACTGCCCGAATGCGAAACACTATACAGCGTTGATAAATAATTTTGGCGATGTCGCGTAATGCGATGCAAATCGAATCAAACAGCTGTATTCAAGATTCAACGTATCGTTCCGAAATATACAATCGACATTGCGCAATTCATCTCACAAAACGCGTAAAATTCGTACGAGATGCACGTATTACCGGTAAACGTGCCCGATATATCACGGCTTTTCATTGCTTAAATTACTCGGTCCAACGATTCACGTTCTCAATTCGGAAACGATCAGCGCGAGTTAGTCGGGGGGAGGAAAAAAAAAGAGAGTTCAAAGCACGGCGCGAGATACATCCGAAGCATCAAGGAAATAATTCTATCGACCTAAATATGGGTAGTGAAACGATTTGCAATTCCCAGCAGCCCCTATCGCGCTGATTTCCGTTTCGAACGGAGTAAATTGCGCGAGATGTGTCGTATCTCGAATAGCCGTCGCCTCGACACGCGTAAGCCGTTAATCGCGCGAACTGATGGTCGTTCGTGTAAGGGAATGATCGCGTTCTCTCCCTGATATTGTACTTATCGCGACCGCGTTCCGAGTGATAATAACACGATGCACGAAGTGGCCCGCGGCGCTGTCTGTCCTCCCGCTCGACTCTCATCGCGCGAATGGTAACAGCGGCGACCTTGTGTATACAATGGCGCAATGTAAAGAGTTACAGAAATCGAAACAACGAGCACTGCACGTTCCTGTAGCCGTTACAAATATTTGACATGTTACAATGACAATGTACACACACGTATACGCCAAAAACATTCCTCATATTTCAAGTTAATTGTGGTACAAATGAATTACTATACAATATTTTGCGTTTTGTTTTGTGGATTCGCTAGCGTCATTTAAGATGATTAATTAATTTTGAGAATATCTTGAATTTATAAAGCTTGATCGAGATGCTGTTTCTTCGATCCTAATCCTTCGACGAATAAGCTACATGAATGTTTGATATGTATGTAAAGCAGATTTTTAATTCCCTTTCATATAAAAATTTGGAAATAGTTGAATAATAATTCCACTTAAAATAAAATATTAAATGTGTGACGAAAGAGTTAAATTTACCTTCGTTTTGATAAAAAAACAATATATATAAATAATTTTATTATTACCATATTCTTTTCCATATTTTAAATCTTCAAAAGAAATAAAATTGTGCCAACTTAATAAATCAAAAAGAGAATTGTGTCGAGAAAATATTATCTTTTCCTTTATTAAAATTACTGTTTCTGAAACGTCAACAAGTAGAAAAAATAATGCTAAATTAATTTCCATAAAAAATCACTATTTTCACTCAAAGAAAATCTTTATTCCTTAAATAAACGTTAGATTGATATTGCTAGTATGTCCATATCGTTGCAACGACAACATCGAAAGAAGATTTATTTTAAACAAAAAAGTACCGCTGTTTTAATAAACGATACGTAAGAAAATTACCCAATATCATTAGAGTGCAAAAATTGTATGTGCAGAAAATATTTTATTATCCTAATTGTAATATTTGGAGAAAATCTACTTTTGCAGATCTGCCTTCAAGTTCAATTTTTTATATGAATAACCGTTTTACCTCTTAAATATTTAAACTATTAAAACGGTTTAAGAACAATCTCTTTTTAAATCATCCTTTTTTATTTAGTAGTAATTTTTCTTACGCCAATACTTGTAAACTATTAATACGTACATACATATGGATTTGATCCTCTCCCGATCATACAATTATTGAACGCGAGAAGTAGAACATGGGCCGTGTCAAAATAAATCCTTGAGTTTCTCAGTTAAATCGCGATTAAAAATATCACTTCGCCTCGCGAGATCCATTCATCAAACTATAGCTCGTATCAAGACAGGTTTTAGCCGGGTTCTTCAGCAGAAAGGCGACTATAAATACAGGTCATAAAGACGTCAGAAGTCTCGTCAATCTTTCGGGGAGTGCTGTTTATTATTATTTCGATTATTTCTTCTCTATGCGTGCATACACGTTGGTGGAGCTCAAGCGCGATTCGGACTTTGATTTATCGCGGGAATTACTATATAAATGTGCATGCAAGATATTATGGAATTTTTCGTCATGAAATTTTTCATCGGCGTTTTATTCCCCTCCTCCCCGAGCTACACAGTTACCGTTCGTGCTGCACTTTCGCATGCTTACCGACATCGAGGATAAGCGGAAAAATGCCACAGCCAGGATCAAAGTCAATAAATTCGGGCAACAAACAGAATGCAATCTCCTAAAAGCTACGTTTCGCGTTCGTGGCGAAATAAATATCTCGCTCGCCGCGCCGCCGGCCCGCTTCGAGATTCGGCTTGAGGTTCAAGCCCCGGCATTGCCTTTCGGATTTCCGGTGGACCGTATCCTTTGCATCTTCCAACCAACGTCCATTTAAACTTCCACTTTGCTTGTCGTTATCGCGCTCCTAGACCTTTTCGCGCGCGCGGTTCGGCGCCTTTGCGCTCAACAAAGCGGACGAAAGAAAGAACAAAAGAAAAAAAAAAGAGGAGGAGGACGAGAAAGAAAAGCCCGAGGAGGAGGACAAGGAGGAAGAGAAGAGAAAGAGAAAGAGAGAGAGAGAGAGAAAGGGGCAAAACGCGAGGGAGGGAATAAGAACGTTCAAAATGCGCTATTTTATCGTAGCTTCACTGGCGCGGCTAAGCGTGCCCCGCGGGCGTCTACCGTTAAGAAGACGAAAACGACAACGGACCCGACCGGCGGACTGGCAACGGCGATGAAACGTGCCGTCGGCCCCTGGGTATCCCGCGTGTGCTCGAAGCTACATGAAAATCCCATAGTCGTATGCTGTCTGGGAGCACTCGTGGCGCGACAAAGACGGATAAAGGCGGAGTCGGAGCGAAAGGACCCCGAGAATTATTACAACGGCAAACAGGGGGGGGGGGGGAGGGAGGAGAAGGATAGGTCGTGTCGTCGCCGCAGCAATACGCGGCGACGCAATTTGCACTTGTTGCCGTCAACACAGTCTGTGCATTAAGCTTTATTAAACCGGTGCGGCGAGTGTTTAATTTAAAATTACTACCGGGGTCGTCGACAAAGTCGGGAGGCGGCCGCCATGTCATTCGCCCGGGAGAAATTCATCGAAATTGGATCACGCGCGGACGAGAAATAAAATCAATCTCGGGCGCGTCAAGCGGGGACGAAACACGAGAGGGTATCGATCATGGTTAAGATCAACGCTCGTTGCGCCGGCGGCTTGATTAATTGACAGAATCGATCCTGCGGTCCGGCGAGTTTATGCGGCGAAACGTAAGCTGATTTCGGGCCACATTGTTGCAGCCGTATGACAGCTGGGATAGAAAAGCATTAAACTGCTTAAGCAACCCCCATGTCGGGGGTCTCCGCGCACTCCCTCCCCCCCTGGGAGGGACGTGATTTCCATATTTCTGCAGTCACAAAGAGAATGTGAGATAAATTCGTGCACGATACGTATAGGTACATGCGGGCGACGCGCGACGCTGCCATAAGTCAAACTAAATTGTTTCCGCTGTACGTATAAATATTGTTAATTAAAAGCGTCGCGAGACAGTGAAATATAGCCCTGTTCGATGCCCGTCTGTATTGCCGCTGGTGACGTTGCGGGACGGACAGAAAACATAGTTGACTTTACGGTAGAGCGGAGTGGCGCACGTACGGAGCATCAAGCCGGGAAAATGTTGCACTAGACACGTTCGAATGATACACGTACAGGTAGGTGTAGTTGCGGTACATGTTGAACTGTCAGTAACAAAGTAGACCGACTGAGAGTAAACAGGACGGGGATTGTGGACTACAAAACTACGTAGGTACACTTACACCGTGAAATGCCGCCGTATTAGAAGAGCGTTGATTTAAGCGCCGATTTCAGCGCTGCTCCGGGTGGAATTTAGGTGTTTGATTTTACAGACCAGCGACGGTAACGGGCTCGAGAAACAACTGAATAACTGAGACTATCGTTCTCACGTCTGATGAATTGCGTTCCACATTTAACCGTACGCTGCGTTTGCATGAACATATCATATCAATAATGCTCGGCGTAACATGAGCAGTACGTATGGATCTTACAAATATCGCTCGCTATCGTTTCGGGGGAGAAACTTTCCTCTCTCGCCATGTAATATTAACTATGCGTCGTATATACCTATATGATTTTCAGAGTAGCGAAGGAAGTTCGTGAACGCGGCGCGGCAGTGACGCGTAGAGAAAAGGGCGAAGAGGAAGCGAGTCTGTAAAATCCGATCGCTACCGCCGAGAAAGCCAATATTCTACAACAAAATCGATACTCTAAATAAATATTGTTCGATAGATACTCGAATTGACGGCGTATCTCCCGTTTGTCGCCGAAAGCCAATATTTATTTCGCCGGACCGAGAAAAGCGCGCGCGCGCGAGAGCAAGAGAGAGAGAGAGAGAGAAAGAGGAGAGAGAACCCTGCGCTAGAGACGCATATATTACATACCTTTGCAAAAAATTTGCCAGATAAATATGTAGCTATCGATATATCGAGTCGCGCGCGGCGCACAAGTATATCGTATCGCGCAGAGATATTTTCGCCTAAAGTACCTTTAGCGTGCGCCAAATGGCTCAATGTGGGAGCTCGCAGCTTCCACCGCACTACTAGTACACCGAAGCTTCTCCGTTAATAATATATGCGAGTTTTTTTTACTCGTTATTATAATACAAAAAAAATGTGATTTTATATAGGGCATATAGGGTGTGTCTTACTTTTTGTATCCGCGCCTGGAAGTGAACTGAAAACTTCCGGAAAACTTCGCAGCTTGTAGCTATATCTGAAAAAAAAAAAAAAACAGCTATTATTAATTACAAAGTAAACATATACACACGAAAAGAACGATTTTGTTAAAAGATCTAAAATTTTGCTAAAAACAGATCTAAAAATAATTTTTTATTGCATCATCAAAATAATTTGTTGGAAAGTTAAAACTGATAAGTATCGCTGTAAAACGTTTTGATATTCTAGCAATTATTTTGACTTTCGCACAAAGTAATTTTGATTATTGAACAAAAATTATTTTCAGACCTGGATTCAGCAAAATTGTTGTTTCCGTGCACGCCTTGATAAATAAAACTCACGTAAAAGCTATATAATACAATACATTTATATATTTTTTATTTTTATTTTTCAAAAGGCAATGGCGAACCATCGAGAGAGCCATAAAAAAATCTCTTCAAAGTAAACTGTTCAAATAGCGTTAAAAAACATTGGTTCGATATATCTGCAGAATATAAGTAGTAATCACGTTTCTTATCTTTCTGACAAAACACTAAGGACTATAAGAAGATATATCCTCTATATATGTATAGAGACGTATTGATTTACGCAGCTGAGAGACAAAGCAGACAGAGAGATATTCTTTACATGGATTAACGTACAGGATGCGTAGCGTGTTCATTACAAGAGAATCTATGAACATTACCTCCGCACTAGTAGCGCATTAATGCGAGATAATACTGATTTATGTGGAGCCTTTACAGTCGAGTTGAGGTCGAGTTTGTGTCACATGTACTTCCATACCTGTGAATTCTACTTGGAATATCGATCAATCCGGCGGTACGTATCGCCGCCTTGTTCATGATTTCATGTTCGATTAGTTTATAATAATTATTCAATAAATATTCAAGCTTAAATGAAATAAATTAAATAATAGGAATAAAGCCAATGTACGTAAGCGCAGGAATTTATAACAATATATTTAAAATACAATTAACGATAAACATTCTAACGTTTTTATTACAGATTTTTTACAATTTATTATTGTAAGAGGATATTTTTAACACAGAATTTATTAAAAAGCCAATCTATTTATTTCTCTTTTCATTTTTATTTCCTTTTTATAAATTAATACGACGAAAAAAAAAGTCACGAGACAAATATCTTCTTAGTTCTAATAATATATTTCACATTAATGTTTAGTGGAAACTTTTCGGAAACTTCATGAATATTAATGATATATGGTCTTTAAATTTACGGTACGAGAAACTCGAAACGCACGGCAACGCGGGAGCTCGCCGCGTCCGTGACATATATCGCGATCGCAAGGACGGAAAATTGCTGTTACGAAGGTTCGCAAGAAAGGGGCGTCGCGGCGACGGAGATTGGCAGTGCGCCAAAGCGCAGCGATGTGACGGGGGAAAAGGGCCGTGCATCATTGATGATTCGGTTCTGATGCGCTCGCACCCGCTCCCATTCTTCACAATGCAAGATGCATCGTTGGCTGCGCGAGTCTCCCGTCGACGGAGTTAGCTTTCTCGCCGCGCGCGACGCCCGGCACGAAAAGCAAGAGGGCGGAAATCGGAATCGGTAATTCGATTACTGTATAAAATATGCCGTTCGGATCATACCGTCGGAATGAATCGCGCGACGAATTCATAACGGGGAGGGGAGGGGAGGGGGGGAATAAATTCAGTCATCCGGCATTCCGTATGTTATTGCCCGCCGCTCGTGTCCGCGCGAAATCGAGCGAACAGCGCTCGCAATCCGTTGACAATATTCGAAAAGCGCTCTTCATCCGTGCCAATTTTCGTGTTCGTTAATCGCGAGTTACGTCCCTCATCCGATTATGATTCGATACCCGTTGCAATTCCAGCCACGCCGACTGTAACACCACCCGGCAGATACCAAAAATTCTCTGTTATACGCATTCACATCGTATCGTATATGGAGATAAAAACAGCGTCGCTACTCGCGTTTTTATTAAACTTCGCGAGATATACGCGAGTCCTGCGCGCGTGTGGGTCCTCTTTCTCTCAAGAGAGAGAGAGAGAGAGAGAGAGAGAGAGAGAGAGGAGAGAGACGCGAGAAAAAGTGCGAGGTGTAAAAAAGGGAAAAAAGTCAAAAGTATTTAGAAATGATTGAAAACGTTGAAAGCAATCGGCCGGATGAGCGTACCGGATAATATGCATTTCGCGGGAGGGAAAAAGAGAGGCGGGAAATAATGCAAAGTGTGCGACTGGCAAACGAGAGATACGGCAACCCGGGCTGTCGGCGCAGCTGTGACTGCATGCCTCCACCGTCGCCGTGGCGCGACTCGAGTGAATCGGTTTCTCTCCGGCTGCTATAATAACAGGAGATGAAGGAACAGTGGAACAGGGTCGTGATGCGACGCCCCCTCGGAAATTAAACGTAACGGGGCTCCATGCAGTAAAAGCGCGCAAAAGCGCCGGACTATTATACTATATTATGGCAGAATTCATTTGTGCGCGTCGAAGGATCAGTGCCTAACAATGAGGGAAAATTAGAAAAGGGACCTGGTGCTACAAATCAGAGTGTCGCAGATTCCTGTGATAGCTTACACCGATATAATTAAACTAATTTCCATTACCTTAGAATAGAATCGGTCTCATTAAGAAATACGATGTTTTTAATTGAATCTGTGCTGCCTGGAAACAATGCTCTTTACGATCGTTCCAAATTAGAGTAAGTTAATATTTAGTTATCCGTTTCCGATGTTTTATTGTATAGAAGTAGATTTTATTGCTATATTCCTCTAAATTGTAATAAAATGTTTCTTTGTTTCAGGTTTATTAATGGCTAATAATATTGAAAAAAGTGTGTTAATTTAAAATCTATGATAATAATGTTTTAAATGAGCATATTTAGAATACAATTAAAAGACAGTTATGAATGTTAATAAATGTGTGCAGGATATCAGAGTAAAGAAATGTATGCATAGTTATTTATGGCGAGCAAGATAAATATGAAGAGGATGAATGTGCTATTTGAACTTCATATAGCGGTTGAAAAAAAAAGGAAAATCAATTCGCGGTTATAATGGAAGTGCAGTGAATTAAATAGTGGTAGGAAATAATTCATGATGTACTTTATGCGGCCCGATATTGAAAGTATTCCATGCTATTGCGATCGTTGAGGGGGATTCCGCCGGTCTTGGAATCACGGCGGCGACGGGACGATTAAGAAAACTCGATATTCAAATCAATTGCTGTGCCACCCCACTGCTGATGCCGTAAAGCCGTAAACCACCACAGACAGTCTCATAAATTCGACGAAATGCAAACCGAGTGGAAACCGCTTGGCGCACACTATCCGTGTAACAAGCATTACAGGCAGCGCGATATGCGAGATTTTCATCGCGTGGCATTCTTCTGCGCGAACAAGTTCTCGCATTATCGTTAGAAAATGCGAGCGATCTACACGGCGTCCGAAAGCCACATTTGCCCCCGCGCGCATTTATTCCGCGATCTCATTGCCACGGCGGTATTACACGGCCGGAAATTTGCCGTGCAAAAAAAAAGAGGCGCCTCGCCCTTCATCGCGTGCGTTTCGACGGGAAGTTTAGTTTCCGTTTTTAACATTTTTAACCTTAATAAGGAAGGTATAAATGACACAGCTAACGAAGTGCGAACAACAGGGGCGTTCTATAGTTTATGCGAAATGTAATCAAGAAAGCCGCCCTCTCCTCTCGTCATTTCAAAGAGTTTTCAATTCCGGAGTCCTATTTTATCGTAGCGTAGTAATTAGGACAGAGATTATTACAACTGCGGCGTACACAATAATGCGACGTCTCGACCCACCGACAGCAAATTACGAAACTCCGAACTCGGGGAGAGAAGTAAACTCTGGTCGGTCCGATACGGGAAGATCCTGGCACCAGGACCGAGTTTACTTTGGCGCTCTAAAGTACCACAACTCTCTCTCTCTCTCTCTCTCTCTCTCTCTCTCTCAGCCCGCCTACGAAATAGCATATTATAATAACTTATCGTTAATTTCGGCCTGCTTCACCGCGTAACTTTCGTAACGGAAAACCGTTCGCCGTTGCGCCGAGGTAACATTAAGTAGCCAAATCGATTTTCTATATTGATATGAAAACAGACGCAGTGCATTGCGTATACCTCGATTCTGCTGCGAAACGAAAGTTAATCACTTATGCCGGCTGCATCGCATAAATGCGGCGCGGCGGCGTATCGCATTAATGCACATCGGGTCTCTTCTTAATTTAGCCTCTAATCAACCGACGCGTTTTCCATTCGAGGATAATCCCAGATATTGTCTTCGTCTAATCCCGCCGATGTTGCCTATGAGGTTAATTAACAAAATTACCAGGCAGCGCCGCGCTCTCGGGGCGCGCGAATTTATCATAACACGTGGAGACGCAATCTCCGGCGTAATTTAATCAACGTGTGGCGCGCGGTAACGAGTAACGAAACACGTACTTATCGCGAGTCGTATTATTTCAAGGTTTCCAAGGTGAAGCCACGGGGATAAAGGAGCCGGAATAATCCGCGCCGCGCGGCCCTCCCTTCCGCTTATACACGTATACGTTCCATCGGAGACGCATTACTTACGCCACATTACGCTCGAGGAGCCGAAGAGGGGCCCGCTTTTTCTTGCGTCGAAGTTTTATGACGGGTGAATCAGGCTACACATCAGAAATTGCACCCACTCCAATCGCGTGCCTAAACGCAAACCGCTGTCGCGTTTTGGCGGAACGTATTGCTCGGCTCGACGGTCGATCGACAACTGTAACTGCTCGCACGCGGCATAATTACGCGCGTTCCGCGTTAACGTAGGCCGCTGATGTTTATGATCCCGTAAACCGGCGTGTACACATGTGTAGCACGCGACAGTAATCGTGCTTCTCGATTTTTTTTTTTTTTTTTTTTTGAAGTGACGATACATGACGAAATCTGACAAAAAAGAATTCCGATTTAAATTTACAATTATCATCTTTCGTCAAGGAAAACTGAATTGCCAAATTGTGCTCGATGTTAAATGGGTACGATAATGGATCGATACGAATTAAACAAGTTT